CACATTCTTACACCTTAGCATCTATAATGCCAACACAACCTGATGTGTGCTACTACCATGTGTCTTTACCGCTATTTATGTCCCCTTAGTAACAAAAGAAAGGGTTGTAGCATTAAGAGGGTTGAGAAACACAGATACAGATATTGACATCTACATTATATGGTGATATGCACAATGTAGATACATAATTAATATACATATTAATATTAATACTTGAATATTCTCCTTAGACGCTAACATTTATTAAATTATATGCCATTCACAAAAAGAACTTATACAGAAATCTGTACTGACTAAAGATTATCGATGGCTCCTCAAATTGCAGTGACCCCCTCAACTATAAAATTATTTTTGTTGCTACTTCATAACTGTAATTTTGCTACTGTTACAAACAGAAGTGTAAACATCTGATATGACCCCCGTGGAAAATTCATTTGACCCCCTTAAAGGGTCACACCTACAGGTTGAGAATCACTGATCTATATGATATTAACTGTATAATAATGATAGATTCTGGGTTTATAACTTAAATTTTCAAAACTTTAGCAATGGTGAGAAAGCATAAAAAATACTGAAGCCCTTATGGAATCTTTAATATAACTATAATATATCTGAATTTTATGAATGGTTCTATAGCAATTCTTTTAAAAAATAAATAATTATATTCCTTCTAGATCTATCCAGCTACTTCTGTAACTTCATACTTAAAAAGTATGCTGTTCAGTTCTCCAGATAGTTTACAAAAGTGGTCAGCAGAAATCATTTTGGAAACCACAAGAGGCTAATAATCACAACTCCACCCTTCCATTCATATGGTCACATGGTAAGTGCTATTTTCTTTCTTTCTTTCTTTCTTTCTTTTCTTTCTTTCTTTCTTTCTTTCTTTCTTTCTTTCTTTCTTTCTTTCTTTCTTTCTTTCTTTCTTTCTTTCTTTCTTTCTTTCTTTCTTTCTTTCTTTTTAACCTCTTATAGGTGGTTTCCCAAGAGCCCTTTCTCTGAGCTGGTTGTCTTCTTTCAGACAGCACTCGCATCCCGAGAACAAGAGTTTCTGCATACAATAATGATTAGCTTAGCAGACTTAAAATGTTAGCTAACTATGCACCGCATTTTCATGGGACTCTCTCCCTCTCTCAGAAGCATCCTGGCCTATGTCTTCTTCACACAAGGAATTCCAGAAGACTCTGCCTTTCTTTGAGAGTACAAAACTGTCCTTTCTTGTTTCGTCTCATTTTGCATTTTTTCTTTTCCCTTTGACATGAACACATAAAAGCAAAATACTATATTTCCAAGTACTCAGTTTTAGCTAATCATCTCAAAAAAAGAAAAATACCCACATAATTAAACAAAACGAGGGTAGTCTTATTACACACTATCACATAAAACAAAAGTTATCAATTGCTTAAGCTTCACGGGACCCATTTTTATTTATATTATCCATTTGTCCTTCTGAGAAAAAGGCACACTTTTCTATGAATTTATCACCCACGTGCCCACCACATGGACACACAGCATTTTAACTGGTAGTGTATGTGCACATGTGCTTTTCCATAAACCCTTCTTAGTTGACAGATGTTACTTTGCAGCTGATGGTACAAGGGAAGCAAAAATTGTTTTTGTTTAAGTTTTAAAAACACTCAACAAGCATTGCTCTTGACATTGTAGTGAATACTGCATGCGCAGTAAATGTTCGTTGAATGATGGATGAATTCATTTTACCCCTACTTACCAACTCCACTGCAAATCTATTCTTGACAATCAAATAACAATCTCACACCTTTTGTTGGGTACCTGGATTTCCAAAGCCATCGATAATCTTTCTCTTTTCTATTAAAAAAAAAAAAAAAACAACTCTGCCTTTGAAATTTTTCTGTTATCACAAATAAAAGAACCATACATGTATTAAACTCCAAAAAATTTAGCCTTACATAATCTTATAAGATAATTCATCTTTAAAGATTAAGTTTAGTCCACCAAATAAGAAAAAAACAAAGAGCTGTTCCCTCTGATTTACGGAACAGACCAATACAATTCCAAATGCAGTGAGATCATTTGTATTTTCCTCTCTGTCTCTACCAGTCAGCCATCTCTGCTCTGCAGGACAAATTATTTCACTATGTAAGGCTTTAGCATTTATCAGCCTACTATTCATTCCTTTCCTTAAAATAACAAACTTCCCCTCTAATGAATATTAATCTGTTTGAATGAACTACACTTTGGATTTTCTTAGACAAGGTAAATATCTTTGTAATACAGTATACTTTAAAAATATATATTATTCTAAAATAAATATAACCTCTGATTTTGAACAGTTCAACAAAGTATTAGTGATCCAAATTAACTGTGACACAAAGCAACACAAAATGAAGGCCAATATAAAAATATTCCATTTCTTTAGCTTTTTGTTCTCTTGCCACAAGCAGGATTTTATGCAGCCTTCTACAACTGTTACACACATCAAACTATCACAAACAAACGTTTGCAACTATTTAAAGTGACATTTAAACTCAGAATGAAATACAAGAATGTTCTTTTATCATGTAGATGAATTACACTTTAAAATAACCTTTCATTTTGTGTAACTGGAATAGAAAATACAATTCTAGATTCTCCCCGTGGATCTATCATGAGTAGATGGGACAAAAGCCTACTTCTTTTCCGTCATTTCTCAGCTTCTATTCAGAAAGTTTCTAACTTTCCAGCATGAATGATGTGCATAAAAATGGCAATAACAGCAACAAGGGAGTGGGGCAAACATATTTTCACCAAAATACGTATTATTATTATTATTATTATTATTATTACTAATTACTATTGAGGCAAAAGCAAGCCAGCAACCCAAGTCCAGAATGCATTCAAAGAGAACCAAGCAGATCTGCTCAGGTCTCTTATCCTCATCCACCTTCACTTTTCTTAAGATCTCACATTACTCTCTCCACCACCTAGAAGACAATTGTGAAAAGCGACTTCTCTGGTTGCCACTGAATCTCAACTCTGCTTTTTTTCTTTTTGAAGTTAGTGAAGGCAGATTTTTAAAACAGGGTTTTGGGAACATCCTTGGGCACTAAAGTGCACAACAAGCCAGACAGTGGTAGTGCATGCCTTTAATCCCAGCACTTGGGAGGCAGAGGCAGTTGGATCTCTGTGAGTTCAAGGCCAGCCTGGTCTACAAAGCCAGGGCTGTTACACAGAGAAACCCTGTCTCAAACAAAACCAAACAAAACCACATAATAAAACACAACAACACATGACCGTTTTGTAATGTGTGTTTTCTCAGAATGGAGACTATAACTTCAGACTGAATTGACACGGAGGAGGCTAAGAAGAAGACACACACCTGTGTGTACTATGACCCGAACATTGATATTCTCTCAACTTATTTTCAGAGTCCTTGCTTGGAAACATGAAAAACTAAAGCCCCTACCTTTTAATTTCAAAGTAAATAGGAGGTAAGTATTTTCAAGTGCTCCCTTAGTCAAAGGTATTATTTGTTTTTCTTTTCATGGAGTAGGGATAATAATTTTGTAATAACAATAATGTAATCATTTTCTCAGAGTCTGCTTCTGATTTAGCATTGAAGATCACAGCCAGCATTGTTCAGATAATTAGGTGAAGCTAGACAAAGCTCTACCCACACACAACAGCCTAACAGTCCTTTTCACTAGTGTATGTCTTCTTCAGTAAATTTCTATGGAGTCTATTTCATCACCACAGCAGAAACGAAAGCATCCTGAAATGTAAACGCACATCTTAAGTGGCAGTGTCTGAATATCTAGGTAGATCCTAGTGTGATGTGCATTTAGTGCTGGGACTTAATCTTTGATTCTCAAACTACAGTCCCTGGACCAGCAACATCACTGTCACCTGAAATATGAGAATCTACTCCAGATCCACCGAAGAAAATAGGAAGCAGTCATAAACATACTGTTTTAACCTGCAGGTGATTTTCACATGCAGTTTAGTTTGAGAACCTCGGGAATAGGTGACCCCTATTGTCTCAAATCACCAAAATGCTACTGTGAAGAGATCAAATGCTCCACTTACCAGTGCCACGTCAAGTAAAGGCATTCAATCATTCTTGTAGTCTGAATAAAATACAATCAAGAAGAGCATGTTCTTGACTTTTAGACCTGTAACATTTCCTACAGAAAATCTGTATTAGCAAGCTTTCTGCCTTTAAGCAGGCATTGACAAACATGAATATTTTAGCAGTGATCATCTCCAAATTCAATCTTAGTTTTCCCTTCACATTTATAGAGCAGGATATTTTATGATAGATACAGCATGGGCATTTCACATCGACTTCTCCAAACTCCTGCTCCATATAGTGTTTGTTCTCTCACTTTCCATCATCCAGAAGGTAGAGTAATAACAAAACTGCCCAGACAGTTCAAGTAAAGGAGGCATTTGGGATCCTCACCCAATGGAAATATGCAGTACTCACGGTGTATGAAGTCTTTGGCTTTTAAAGACTAACTTCAAATAGGCCTGGTTTCTCAATGTGACTCAATGAACGATCTTAACTGTTAGGATGGAAACTGTTTACCTGAAGATCAAAGTGGGAGACTTGGGTAGGCACCTTTAGCTTTTCTGAGGTGTTTACAAATGATCAAAAATAATGCTTTGAAATGACAGATAACTGGGCTGGCTGTCAGGGACCAAAAGAAAAGTTGTTTCAAAAAACAAAGAAACAAAAAACCCAAAACCCCAGCAGGGGTCAAGTTTAATAGTCAGTTTTCACTCCCTCAGGAAGCACATCCACCCCCCTGGACAGGTGATTACCTCACAACAAGCTCCACCCTCCCTGACTCACTTCCTCAAGCAGTTGAAGCAGTCCAACTTTCATTGAAACAAATGCTTTTATCTCTTTACACCATACTAGATGAGGTCCTTCCTAGTCAAATAGACTTTCATACTTAACGTTTCTTCTTAAAGAAAAAAAATTGCCAATTTCTGTTTTGCCATGAATATAACCGGCGAAAGCCAAACAACTCAGACCTCCATTTTCCTGCAGCAGCTTTAATTTTACAATCCAAAAGCATTTATTTTACAGTACTCAGTAGAAACATGTTTTTTAAAAAAACCTGTCCTGCCTTTTATGACCTCTACAAAATCCTCTGTGGAGGTGATTAATGCACCAGCAATCTATTTCACTGTCCACCTTCAAATATTTTCTGTAAGGAGTACGTACATTTCTTATGAGCTATATACTTGGCAACACTTTTATCCAAAGCCTTCCAAATAATGACAAAAGAGGGTCACCAAACACATTAAAAAAAAAACAAAAAAACCTTCCAACAGTGCTTGACACATCTCCAGAATGTGCATCATTTTAATCTACTTAAGCAATCACATTTATTCAAATGTAAGAATGAATTCTTGTAAAAACATTATTTTGAGCAGTTTCGACTTTTTTATACTTAGAAACATAATTGTGTTGAATACTAATGGAGAAATGAGATCAGAGTTGGGAAACAAAGGCCAGGACAGGCAAAACTATTCTCCCTCCCTACTGGAATGGTGAGATGCAACCTGCATGGAGAAAAAAAATTAAGGCAAGATAGACTGATTATCACTTTAAAGAAACCTGTGATCTCGTTTGGCTTGGTCAAAGGAGTCAATTCCTTGGTTAAGACTCTTGAGACTCCAGCTTTGCCTCATGAACCTATGGTATAATCTGTTATAGATACTTCCTTATTCTGTAAAGATTATTGTACTAGAGAAGCCCAAGGAAAATACAAATAATAAGTAACAACACAACACACATTGGCTCCTACTTTTTAAAAGAAACAAATTTTGTGGTCAAATATAATCCACAAACTAATAAGAGCCAGGGAATCCTCTGTATATAGTTTTGTTTTGAATCTAATGATTTGGTTCCAAATAAAAACTTTGGAAGGGTTGAAACAATGACTGGAATAATGCACGCCATACACTACTAAGTACACTGTGTGTGAGAACAAAGTTAAGAACACTTCTGACTGGAGGCATGACATAAACAGACAAAACCAAACCGAGACAAATAGAAAGTACCCCCCTCTTCTCCCAGATGGATGTAACTTTCCCAGACCTAAGAGAGTGTGAGCAGTGTGCTTCTCCTCTTGGCTACAACAGTGAAGTTCACTGATCTTTGTCAGTACTACAGAGTCAACACACTTCCTCCTCTGAGGAGTCAGATGGTATGGTCATACCCTGTGATGCTCAGGCCTTGATAATTTTCCCCATTTAAAAAAAAAAAAAAAAGAAAGCTTAGAAACACTGTCATCCAATTTGTCATGGAAACAACTCTACCTTCAAAATTCGACAAACAAGTCTGGAAGGCATCATGTCCCTGGCTCTGTCCACCTCTGCCTGACACCGTTATCATGGATACTGTAAACCAAACCACTGAATATGAAACACAAAAACACAAATAGTTTGGGGTTTCTTTAAAAATGACATTTGTATTAAAAGTCTTAAAATGAAGAGACAATGAGTGGAATTAAAAGTTACAGTTCGTTAGAATTCTCTTGGTACATCACAACAATAAAAATTCTGCTCTTTGCTTCTGGAGGACACCCTGTAACAAATAACAGAGACACTGTGAACACAACAGAATGGGGGCTAAAACCTGAAATTTGAACAAAATGAAGAGGGAAAAAAAAATCAAGACATGGGCTTAACATTAAAAAGCTAAGATTAATGAAGCAATTCATGGACTAACAGGCCCCATTTGTCCTGGTTCTCTCAGGAAGATACTTAAAGTGGTTTTGGGGGGCAGCAGAACAGCAGATTCTGGGATATGGTGGGAATTCACAGGTTGGCACCGGCTGGAACAGCTGAGTTTGAAGGCACTCTGCAGACACAGGGGTGCTGGGGGCCCTGAATCACATTTACAAAGTCTTTGTATTGTATTTTTAAAAGCTCGTCAGCAAAATCTGTCACTGCCAACCACAAAAAAAAAAAAAAAGCTATACTGAAACACACACACACACACATACACACACACACACAATAGCACACACAAAAATGTGCAGATCTTTAACATTTTTTTCACAGCTGATTAAAAAAAAATACTACCATTCTCCCCCAGACTCCCCTTTGATACAGTAGGTAATCAAAATAGATTTTTTTTTTCCCACAAATATCAGCAGACACTTCCTGGCACCCCACACTGTATTGGCATCAGTGTTAACAGTCCCAGTTCACATGTGCAATACTTCAGATTGGATACACTGTAACAAGAACCCAACTTTGCATAGACATCCTCAGAATCGTAATCAGTCCCTGGGTTGCCCTTCCAAGCTGGCAGAAAAGGAACCCCTGGTCTTAATTTCCAAATAATCCTGGAAAACAAGGGAAAAAACAAGTTTCTTCCCCTCCTCTGGATCCTTCATATGGTTTTCTCAGACCTCCTTCCTTGTATTTAGAACCTGGAACTATGAACAGTTGTTTGGGGGAACCCTCCCCCACTGCCTCCTTCTTCCCTTCCACTTCCTCCACCTCCCCACCCCCATTTTTTTCAGGCTTGAAACTTTTGCTTGCCGGTGTCAAGCAGCCAATACTGCGCCTTAATGGCTACTTAAACGGGAAAATTATGCATGAACCGAAATCAATGAGGAACGTACACGCTGTAAAGAGCCACATTTCCATCAGGGTCTTGGATGATCAGGAACCGACACCCCCTCGAATCCCCGCTGAAGGCTGGGGATGCTGGCCACGCAAGTCAGCCAGGTTCCTCGGACATCCCGGCCAATACAAAGTCGTCTCCAATCTCAAAGCAAGAAGACAATCACATTAAGAGAATCGGGTGTGTTTGGCTTTGTGCACAGAGCGTGGCCAGCGCCGGCAGCCGGCGCCTCACAGGATCACGCAGGCCGAGCAGCAGCCCTCATCGCCGTTGGGCTGTGCCGCGTAGTTCATCTGCCGAACGATCTCTGCGAACAGCTCATCCACTGAGGCTTTGTTTTTGGCGGATGTCTCCATGAAGGGGCAGCTCCACTCCTCGGCCAGGGCCTTGCCCTCGCCGTATGAGACCTCGCGCTCGCCCTCCAGGTCCACCTTGTTGCCCACCAGGATCATAGGTACGCGCTCGTACCGCTTCACGCGGATGATCTGGTCCCGCATGGGCTTGATGTCCTGGAAGCTCTGCTGGTTGACCAAGCTGTAGACGAGGATGAAACCCTGGCCATTCTTGATGTACAGGTCCCGCATGGATGCAAACTGCTCGGTACCCGCGGTGTCCAGGATCTCCAGCACCGACGGCGACGAATCCACCTCAATCTCCTTGCGGTAGAAGTCCTCGATGGTCGGGTCGTACTTCTCGATGAAGGAACCGGTCACGAACTGCACGGTCAGCGCAGACTTGCCCACCCCGCCCGAGCCCAGCACCACCACTTTGTACTCTCTCATGGCTCCGTCCGCGCCCTCGTCGCGCCTGCCGCGGCCCCGTCGGGGCTGCGCGCTGGGGAAGGCTGGGCTGGGCGGGTGGACTTCTCCCCTTCCTCCGTTCCGCAGGAAAAACCCCGGCGAGAGTGGCCCGGGAGCTCGGGCTCACCGATCGGCTAGCGGAGTCCTGCGCCGGGCCGACCAGTGGCGGGGGCGCGTCTCTGGGACGAGGGTCCCGGGCCCCGCAACAGCCCTGGCAGAGGACCCTGAGGACAATGCGCGCAGCCGGAGCAAGGCAACCGCTGGAGCTCCTCTCCACGGCAGCCCGAGAGGGCCGGGAGACAGTGGCGGCTGGCTGCAGAGGCGGATGCTAATTGCGCGTCCGGCTGGGACACGCGTGGCATGTGTCCCCGCGGAACGTGCGCCCAGCTCCGCGGCCCATCGCTCTCTCTCCCGCAGCCTCCGCTGGGCGAGGGCTTCCTACTCGCCGCGCGCAGCCGACCCTCCCCGCCCCGCCGAGCATGCCCAGTGAGCTGCCTGCGGCGCCCCGCCCGAGTTCCGCTCCGGCTTTTCCGCAGCGTCGGGAGGAGGCGTGGATAGAGGGTGTGGCCAAACGGGGCTGGGCGGGGCGGCGCGAATCTTGGAACTGGGCAGTTCTGCCTGTGCCCGTAGGTGGGAAGCTCCGGACCGAAGCTACCTCCTTTCTTGACACTGCGAGCCTCTCGTGGGCGCATCGGGTAGCAGCTGGCTGTGACCTTCTCGCCTCTATGCGCTGTTAAAGGCGGACAGACACTAGTCCCCAAGCCCGGACCGGTGCGCGCTTCTCTGGACCACACACCTGCTGGGCATTTTCAGGCCAGGGAATGTAGCAGTGGCGCATGCCCCCACTTGACCTGGTGTTCTCGTGTCGCTTCCCTGCCAAGAACTCGTCCCGAGTTCTCGGTCCCGGACTAAGAGCTAGGGATGGGAATTAATGGGGCACCGCAGCCTTCGGGGCAGGATTCGCTGGGTCATCCAACCTCCCCTTTGGCTGGAACCAAAACCCGGCTAGCGGATCCGGCCTTGCGGAAGGCGTGCGGCCCCCCGCACCTAGTCAGGGCATGCTCAGTCGGCCGAGCAGGTTTGGGGTTTGCAAGTAGGAAGGTTTCGCACCGCACACCCACACGCCAGCTCAAATTACCTCTCCCAGACTCCCAACTCATTGGCCCCAAGATGCGAGTCTCACACCCACAAATGTTGTCCCATTGGCTGCTGCCGAGGTTTTGTCACTTTAGACAGCTTCATTGGCTGGAAAGTCGCCTCCGCTCGGGATTGGTTATTTATAGAGATTGAGTGGAGAGGCGGAGGCCCAGCTGTTCCTTCTCCACTGCTCCCCGCCCCCTTCCACCCACTGCCCCGGCCTGTGGCTCTGAAGCAGAGAGGGGGAAAAGAAGGAATTTAGGCGGAGTGCTCCAAACTAAATATAGTCCTTTGTTGGTGTTTTGGAGGGAGTCTGATTTCTTCAAGCCCAGTCACGACCGTCCCTTAAAGGGAGCAGCCGGGGTTCATTGCTGCTCTCGGTCTGCAAGAAACCCTAAAGTTTCTAACGTAATATTTGCCGGGAGCTAGGATGAGCAATGAGGCACCGGGAGCTCATGGCAGCAGGAGAGGTGGGGCTGCCCAGGCTTGCCTCTTCCCAAGCTCTGCATGGTGGGGCGGGCAGTTGCAGGACTTGGCTCCACTCACTTGCACAGGGATGCGAGGTGACGCCTGGACTTGTCCTGAGTCTCTCTAGTTTCTTGCTGGGAGAGATGTCTAGACCTGTCAGCGCAAGGCACTGGCTGCGGAGTGCAGAGGGGTGGGAATCAGATTTATGACCACTGGTGCTCAGTGGATTACCTTCTTATCCGCTGCCACTAGGTTCTGCTTTAACTGTCCTCTCTGAGAGGAGAACGGGGCAGTGTATAGATACTTGGTTTTGGTTCCGAGTTACTGCAATACTCTAGGCCCCATTTGCGAGTGGGCCTGCTCCAGACTCTTGGCTGCTGGCCCTAAGTGTGTGCCCGCAGTGGTAAGTTGCAGCCCGCAGAGCCGGGAGGGAGTTCTCTATCCTATGTCTCAGTTCATTGGCAATGCTCACTCTGCCTTGTCTCACTCTGAAATTTAGTGGAGAAAGGGTTTTCATGGTCGACTATTGACTGCTTCGATTTAATTATGGTGATATAATTTTTCAGGGAATTATCTCTGAAACAAACTTTAATATAGCTGGGCAGAATTCTGCCAACATTCTGCCAAGTGTGTTGCATACACTATCTCAATTACCCCTCATAATGATTACTTTTACGGCCATTTGAAAGATGAAGAAACTGAGGTTCCCAGGGGTTCAGTAGCTCACCTGAGCGGGGCAAAGCATGGATTATAACCTAGGTGTTTGATTGTAGAGTGGTCAACCCCTTGAAGACAAAGCAGGAGGACCCCCTGCTGTGACCATACTTTGCTCTCTTCCTGTGGAGATGACACTGTTTGAATGGCACTTCCTCTTCTAGTCTGTGGCTCTGAAATACCTTCCCATGCCAAACCCACCTCAAGGATCTTTTGGGACTCCCAACTCACCCATATCCTATTAATAATTCTTTATTGGGCTGTGCATTTTAATAAGGTGCAGTGGGCCTTCTTGAGTGCTGGGAGAAGGGGCAGTGGCATCATCAGTACTCTGACTCCTTCCAACCTGGTCCTTGAAGGAGTCCACAAATTCTCAACTCAACACCTGGCTGCACAGGTTCTTGTAAAGATGTGTTTGTTAAAGTGCAAAGATCGATCACATTTCACCAATTTGTTCATCTTGGTTGATAACTTAAATACTGTTAATGCTATTTAATCTAAGTAGGTGTGATGGATATTGTAATTGGTTGTCAATTTAACTACATCTGGAATGAACTACAATCTGGAAATGGAGGGCACAGCTGTTAGAGATTTTCTGCTTGGTTTGAAGTGGGTGAATCCACTTCTAGTCTAGACCTTTGAGGTAGAAAGACACGTGTCTTTGACCTGATTGACCTGAATCTAGAGGTAGGGAGACACACCTTTAATCTGGGCCACACCTCCTGCTGGAAGCCTATATAAGGACATAGAAGAAGGAAGCTTCTGCTCTTTGCCTGCTTGCCCTTGCCTTGCTAACACATCCAGTCCTTCCCTGGCATTTGAGCCTCCTTCTTTGGGATTCCAGCATATCTGAAGACCAGCTGAGACATGCAGCCTTGTGGCCCGAGCAATTACTAGATTCTTCGACTTTGTGCTCACAGCTAGTCGTTGTTGAATTAGCTAGACTGCAGCCTGTAAGTCATTCTAATAAATCCTCTTTCTATACGGAGAGAGATTCATTCTACAAGTTCTGTTACTCCGGAGAACCAGTAGGCCTCTATGCACACTCTGTCATCACTGAGGTGTGAGTTTGAAAGAAAATGCCTCAGGCTTATATGCCTAGTGTCTAATATTAAGCACTGGACCTCAGTTACTACCCAGGGCATTTGGCAAGGCCATTAAGCTTCCTGACCTTAGTTTGCCTACCTGTGAAATAGTGATGTTGAATATGATTTGCAAGAATCAAATCAACTGTTATCTCACTTGTCTCATTATCAGTTTGGTATTGCAGGTAAGTTCAACAAATAAAATGATACACTTGTTTGTATTGAAAATAAAACCCATTCTTATCACGAAAAGTTATCCTAAGCCGAGATGTCTTGTGGGATTAGGCTGATACAGCACAATGACCCAGTAGGTTTGCATCCCATCATATATTTTTGAATGACTTGGCATATTTTAATCCTTCTAGCCAATTTTAGAAAACAAGTGAAAGGTCAAAGTCCCTCCTCTTAAAGGCACATGATCCAACCTTTTCCCCCAGGTCTCAGAGACCCTTTGACAGAGACCCTGATCTGTGGGGAAGAGGCATGTTTCTCCTGTAGCGTGACATAATAGCACGTAGTATGAGTATGTGAAGAAGGTGCAAAGTAAGCTCAAGGAAGGGCAGGTTTAGAGAGATTTAGTTGATCCTAGGTTTCCTTGGTTGAAAGAGCCATCTCAAATCCCACTCTGTTTAAGATTCCTCTCCTCAGAATGTTCTGTTCCAGAGAACCAGATAGAGAAAGAACAGGAGAAATTGCTTAGCTCCGTTACAAAGAAATTTCCTCTCTTTCTTTTATCTCACAAACCACCAGATGAAAGGAGCCCCCCTTTCCGCCTGCAGGGATGAGAGCATACCACTTCCCCTAACACAGTTGAAGCCTATCAGACCTCTGCAGCATGGCTCCACCAAGTCTTTCAGCCTGTGGTTTTGATGGAGACAATGAGGGCCTGTGCTCCGGAAAGGAAGTTTCACTTGTAAATTATCACCAGCAGTGGGGTCTGCTTTAAAGGATCTGCCTAATAGGGGACTCTGTTTTACTGGGAATTACATAATTGAGCAATCATGAGATAGTATTAAAGATCTGTGAGTCATAGCTTAGGAGGATTGTACCCAAAAGCAGAGGATGGTTTTGAGGTTATTGACTTCAAGTCTGTTAGCTTTGCTTGTAAGAAAAATAGATTTAAAGCCTCATGTGCCCAAAGATTACTATTGTTATATTCAACATTTGCAACAAGGTCATATGACTACAAAATATATTTTTAAAGTTCCTTTCTGTTTCCTTTCTGTGAAGAGATTTCTATCCTTAAAAATCTTATTGTCTTATAGAAACAATTTTATGGAACAAAAAAGGAGTAACCCCAGAAAACTGATCAAATATTTATGCATTTTGTGTAAGCTGAATTTTCTAAATGAATGCTTCAAACTCTTTCTGTAAAGAACTAGATCATAAACATGTCAGTTTTCGCAGGCTATACTCTGTCTTTACTACTTCTAAGTTTCATCTAGCACACAAGCCTCCTTAGATAGTATGCAAATAAGTGGTCAGGGCAGAGTGCCAATAATACTTCCTTTGTGGAAACAGGTGGTGGACTACATTTGGCGTGCAAGTCCGTGGTTTGTCAGTTTCTAAACCATGAATTGAAGGGGATGGGAGAAAAACCCTTCATTTGTTGCCAGAGGTTCTTGAAATAAAAATGAACTACTAGTGGTCTGTCAATAGATGTAGTTACACTTTTGGCAATAATCAACAGGAAAATGCCAGCCAAATAGTGAGTATATATCAACAAATAAAATTCAGTCTATATAATTTGTAAATGCTCATATTGCTATTCTTACACAAATGTCAAAGGCTTTAACCATGCTTTATTATTCTTATTTCTTTCATATTTATTTTTAATTGTTGATTGTGGATTATGTTTGTTATGTAATATATATTACAGGACCCGTGACCATTGTGTGTGTGTTTGTATGTTGTGTACCTTACTGTCAGCCATATATACCTTGAAAATAATTTCATTAATTTGTGATTAACTTTTGATTTTAAATTTTAAAAGTTTTTAAAAGTATTTCTTTTCTG